CCTCTGTCCTTATTATTGATGGAGATGAAGTACTTGCAGTTCAAAAGTTCATGTAGCACAGGAGAGGAGCATGCTGTGTGCACCTCAGGTGCTGGTGGCTGTGGCTGCTCGGCAACGCAAGGAGAGACCGCTGTGTCATTCTGAGTGTCACCCACAGCCCAATCACATCCAGGTGAATGCTGTGCAGAGTAAACATGGGGCTGTATCTGCTCAAGAAAATGCATTCTCATGTTGTGTGTACTACTGCTTTGTAAAACCTACAAAGCCCATCAGTTGTTAGACTAAAAGTTTGGTTCAAACATGAAACTCTTCTTTACCCTGTTGAATTTGTGAAATATTTTGGAAACTGTGGAAATACTTAGACTTGGAATGAATTTTGTTATGGCTCTTTCCATTGTTTGTGTTTGACAAAACTGTCCCCTTATTAGTTGTTGCCTGGAAATTATTGATGAGGGGAATGACCTGGTAGAAGTTCTTAACCTCCGTCTGGATCAAAACCAGGCTGCCAGTTGTTGGAAGCTGCTGGGGTGTGGCAGAGCCAAGGCCAAGCTCATGGGCTACAGGACTGTGAAGCACAGGCACAGTTTTGCTTCTCCCCTTTGTCAGCATCTGGCCTTTTAGAGGGACATGCTCCTGTTTGGAGACCAGTGCCTTAAAATGTCAGTATAGTTTAGTGTCAGTTTCGTTTTATATATGTTAGAGCCTGTATTTTCAGTTAATATGCCTGAATTCTGTGTAGAAACAACAGTTTAAAATAGTTAAACAAATATAAATAAATGCAAGGGACTTGCATGTCTGGTAGTGTGTTCCATCTGCAAGAAAGTTTAAAACCCTACTGAATTCCTGAATAAACAGAAACAATTGAGCACACTTTTGATCCCCTCCCTGTTCCCATGGAGGCTTCCTGGCAGATGCCCACACAAATCACACTCATTTACTTAGTATTTCTGTCCTGTTAGCCATTAATATAGAGCAATCTGTTTAATGAGCTTCATTTCCTTATAAATTGAACTGCTGAGGCAGGATGAGGTGGGAATGATGCTGCAGGAGATCTGATTTCATCTGTGCTTCTCCTGTGACCTGGTGCAAGTGCCAGGTCTGCATCTTCACAGCACCTGCTGCTCTGTATTTTCCAGTCTGCAGGTCGGGGACATGATGCTCCCAAGCTGCATTAATCCCTTTGGGCATCCTCATCAGCTTGCTGTCCTTTTCGGTGTGATAGCTGTTAGAGATGTAGAGGTTTGCCTAAGTTAGTTGCTTGTTGTGATTTAGTTTTGTTGTATTTTGTAAGCACTATGAGTTGGCTCCCAATCATATGAGATTTAGGAGAGTTGGAGGGCATAGCTAAGGTATCACTATTCATGTTGTGAGTGATGCTTCATAGTGTCAGACAGCACAGAGACCACAACATAGGGGTGTTTTGAGATCAGTAATGGTTGTAGACAGTGGTGATAGGGCTCCAATGAGAACATTCATGATTATCCACAAATGGAAATGTTTGAGTGTGTCCACTCTGGTGCCAGAGCGGGCAGAGAAAGCTGGAACCCCACAGAGCTAGGCTGGGCTGTGTGTGCATGGAAATGAACATCACCTTCCTGAGGAGTCTATGTGGCATTTACCAGAGTGAACAGATGTCAGCCATAACTGCCCAAATCTTTCTGTTTTAAATCCTGTGTGCGCTTTGAAATGTGTCCTTTATTGTGATTGAGGGCAAGGTGCCCTTCCTTCATCAGGTTGCATTAAATGAAACAAAGTGACATTTGTTAAGGGCAAAGTTATGTAAATTTTCTATTTTGCTCCTGTTTCCCTGATTTTGAGTCTGATCTTTCCATAAATAACATTTTGTATTTTAATCCATTCTCTCCTATGAAGGGTGGTGTGAAAGTATCTGCAGTGGAGAGACAGCAACTCAGAGAGATGGAGGTGTTAGTTTCTATGCTGAAAAGACAGCAGAATATTACTTAAATTCTAACAAAGATAATATTAGGGTGGTTTCTAAGCCTGGTTCCCAGAGAACTACACATTTGTTAACTGAATGTTTCTTATACTAGTAAGAGAGCCTTGACCTAATTTACATTTCATGGTCCACATAAATGTGGAGACACTGCCAAAATGATCTCCTTCCTACTTCTATTTTCTAATATTCTCTTTCCTTCTTATAATTGCAGACATTCCAGAAAATGGAGTGAAATGTTTTTCCTACTGTTTGATTCTTTGTTTCATGCATATGCATTTCTGGGACACACAGTTCTGGAGCGTGCAGCTGAGTGCACATGCCTGGAGTCTCTGCAGGCTTGTGCAGCTTTGAAGCAAAGAATCTAAAACATAAGTAAGATATTTTCAGAATTAAAGATAATTTAAAGGAACAAGAGTAGAGATTTTAAATTCCTTCAAATAAATCCAGTCTCAAAATCAGGGATAAGTTTTCATCTGCCTTCTGCTACCATCTTAGATGGTGAAAGGAAAGAAGATATTTACACAATGAAACTGCTCACAAATATAAGGAAAATCACTTGTGTTACTGGCTCCTGTTGATGTTCACTCTAATGATCGCATTACAGAAGGGTTTATTAGTTAACAGTTTTGAGTGCTACACCTGCAGACACATGGCAGTGCAAGAAAACACTGTACATAAGTTGGATAGCTTTATTTTTGCAGCACTCTAATTAGACATCTTCATAAAATAGACATGTGGATTTGTAAATCTTGCTTGCAAAATCTCCTTGCTCACCAACTGGAACATATCTAGGATTCTCAATTCAAACATCTCAATCTGCTACATGTCTTATTTTAGCTAAGCCTCAGTTTTTAAACTTCAGCAGCTATTAGAAAAATATTACCCTGCATCCTACAGCATCCTCTGGGTCCAGGAGGAAAGTTTGAAGCCATGAAGTAATTGTGCAGGAATTTTACAAATCTTGTCAAGCTTAATTCAGCCTGGAAAGTTTGGGGCTGGCTTTGCTGCCAACGCTGCTTTCTTCAGGGAGTCCCTTCCCATTTATTCCGAGCTGTGCAACTGAAGAGTTGCACACTTCAGTAATACAGGAGGGTAGCAAGCAGATTAACACGTAAATTAGTTCTCAAGCTCTCGTTCCCCGTGGTGCCAGTAACCTACTTACAGGAGCGGCAGCGCAGGCTCAGTGTGGGCTGGGGAGGATTGTCTGGTCCGGCAGTGCGGCTGGCCGACGCCAGTGCCTCTTTAGCTTGGGTAGTGATTGAGGTTTTGAGCAATTAAAAACCTCTTGTGCCCAAGGAGGGTGAGGGGGCCCCACACACCTGATTTTCCAAGTTGTCGAAACAATAGGCGTTGGAAGCAAGGGAGAGGCTTGTGTATCAATGGGTGGTGTTTGCCTTGGGCTCTGAGTAGAAGCGCTTTTTTCTTAAGTTTCCTCTCGAGCAGCCTCCACAGATTCCTTTAACACCAAATAGGACATGTCTTTCTGTGCAAAGGTGGCAGGCAGAAATAGGACAGGGTTTTGTCCTTTTTAAGTATTAATACAGATCACAAAAAAATGACGTGCCGAAAGATACAGAAACTTTACAAAATATGTTGAAACTTTGGAGATTGTGAAAAACGCCAATCACTTGGTTTTTTAAAGTTTAAAAGTTTAATAATAAAATGGTTGTAAAAATAGTAATAAAACTAGAGTAATAAAAATTTAGAGTTAGGACAGTTACAAGACAACAAAAACCAAAGAATTACCGATGTCCCGATGCTCTCAGGCACTTAAGCCACGACAAGCATGCCTTGTGAGCAAAGGAATAACCTGAAAAGCAATAGCCTGTTGCATATTCATATATCTCAGACATGATGCATAAATTCCTTGCAAATTAAGAATTTCTCTGTTTTTTGTCAACTCCTTCCCCTTAATCCTGGTGGTTCCATGAAGACAGAGAGAAGGTAGAAGAATGTTTGTCTTTTCTGATAAGGAGTCTGTAATTCTTTGTCCTGTCACTGTTATCTCTGTGCGAAGAGTTTCTTGATTATCTTATCCCTTGCTTGAGCTAGTAAAAAAATCCTACATCACAGAGTTTCTATTTTAACATTATGTTGTAACCTAAAACTATTTTGAGCATACTGCTTAAGAGAATTAATACAGCATAACTTTCTAACATTACACGTATAATATTAATTTTAATATTTGCGAAAAGCCAATCATAAAATATGTGTTTTTCACAGAGATAATTTATTTTTTATTACAGCTAATACTGTATTTAGTGTAAAACACAAAACATGTTTTCATCTATCCTTTCCCTGGTGAAGAAGAGAACAAAAAGGAGAATCCAAATTTTCTCTTGACTGAAATCTTCTGAACCCTAAATGTCTTTTTCCCATGAAAGTGTTCAGAAAGACACATTTCATTTCTAAATCCAAAGAAAAAAATAAAGTGTAGCCAGCAAAAACTGGTACTGTCTTCTGAAAGAATTTTAGCAAGTGTGGAATAATAAATCACCCAACTTCAGTATTGGCACCTGTGCAGGGTTGAAGAATACAGCATCACTGTGATTATCCATTTTCTCCCACATGAAATAGAAATAATCACATCAGCTATGTTAAAAGAGCTCCTGCATGTGCAGTGTCTATATGATTTACACAGTGATTTAAATATCTGTAGATGTCAGCTCTCCAAGGAATTTTGTCTGTTGTGACTCACATGACATATTGTAAATGTGTAAATGTCATCTTTTACTGAGGTATTTACAAACTTAAAATATTTTTGGCAATTATTTGTAAGTATTAGCTCTATTGTCAGCAGCAACAGTTTGGATTATTTTGTCATAGAAAAGTGGGAGGGAACCACTGTTTGGGCAAGTGAGAAGCAAATACTTCAAAGTCATGTGTTGGATTGAAGTAATTAAATCCAGTAGCAGTAGATACTCAGAGTGAAGTTCAGCAGTGTGATTGTGGCTGCTGAAGGCAGCTGTGCTGCATGCATATGTGAAGTGCAGGTTGGTTTTCCTTGGAGAAACCTTCCAACTGCACCTCTTGCATTCACCAGGTCCTGTGGAAGCCGGAGGAGTTTGGTGCAGCTGCTTTTCCAAAGTGTCTGGCAAGTGCTTCTAGAGGGTGAGTGTTTAGTAGATTCCCTGCATGAGCCTGTAGAAATTTAGCCACTGACTGGGTAAATTGAGTTAAAAAGAAACCATTAAATCACTAAGCAAAATCTCTTTTGATCTTGCCTAGTATCTAACTATCTTCTGCAAGAGGACACTGACAGGGCTCCTGCTCTGCTTCTTTGAACTCATGCACATCTCCTTGCACCGCTCTCAGTCCTGTTCTGTTCTCCCTTGCTCTCTTTGTGTTCTGGCTTCTGTGTTGCCAGCTGTGCTCCTCATCACATTGTTGCAGATTTGGGCATAGCTGGGCTGCAGTTTGCTCAATGGGCAAACACACTGAAAGCCATTGGGTTTTCCCACTGCTTTTGGGCCTGTGTGGAGGTATTGTACGTACAGCTGTTCTGTTGTGCTCATGTGTGGTTTGTGCCAAATGCAATCATTGCAGATGATTAACTAACAGTTTTGGCATGAACTGTAGACTGTGTCCTAGATTATAACTCAGTTCTCCTATATACAATTCTGTAGCAGCACTGTGAGCAGCATGGTGTAGAAAGCATCCCAAAGGGCAGGATTTATGGGCACACAGCTTCTCTGTTCTTTGTCAAACTACCAATGCATACATAGTTTCAGCTTAAGCAAAGCAACAGCATTGCCTGAGGCTGTAATTACCTTCCCTGCTCATAATGGCCTTGGGATCTTGGGGTGAGCAGAGTGCCCTGGTACCGTTGTGTATTTGGTGAAATCATTAAACACACAGTTCAGAAAATCATTCATGTGCTGCTTAGAAACTGCACCACTTATTTTATAGAGAAGGATTATTGAATTAAGGTAATAAATTTATAAAGTGAACAGCAAGTTTTTTGTTTGTTTCAAAAACCTTTATTGCCTTCATTCAAGGATGTCATCTATCTGTAGCATAGCCTTTGTGGTGACAAATGGTTTCAATATTTGTCCCAGTTTGTAGCTTTTGCTTTTTTTTTTTTTCTTTAGTCAAGCATGGCAGAAATATGAGTGATTAATACTGAGAAAAGTTTGCAGCTACCCAGGCTCAGAAGAACTCATCCTGTCTTGGAGTATTCCATTTTCTCTTTTTGTCTTTTCAAATAAGCAGATTAGATTTTGCCTGAACTCAAGACATTAAGCCTTCAAAAGATGAAGGTTTATTTTATTAAGCTCTCTCGACAAGAAGAAGAAGGTCTAAGCCCAGTCTTACTTTGTATGATGATCTGTCCCCACTGTTTCGCCACTTCCTAAACCTCAAGGAGAACCTAAAAAAATAAGAGAAAGTGAATGATGATTTTGCCTTTGGCAAAATTCTTTTTTTCACTCCTTCACTGTCATGCCCAGCACAAACCTGTCTCAGGAAGCCACTGCTGGGCACTGAGACTGAGATATCTGACAGGGTGGTCAGGAAGTTCCAGCCTAAATTACAGCCCTGTGTGTCCTCAGAGTAGACTGGTGTAATCTTAAGGAGCACAGTAAAAGGTTAGGACAGAATGTGGAAGGAGTCATGAACATTCATTACTAAGGAACTGCATCTCTGTGAATATGAGTATAGAAGCTAGTGTCAGGCGCCCACATGCTTATTTTTTTAGGTATGATATTAATCTCTTTCTAATACACTCAAGAATACCTCACCAGGGTTTATATGTATTTGTAAGTTTAAACATAGTATAAGTGAATCATTAAAACCCAAAATCACGAACAAAGACTCTCTAACTAGTCAAAGTTAGAAAGTGGTATGCTTATTATGCCAGCGGGCAGCACAGGCGGGGTTGTTCCGAAAATGTGTGACCACACTGCACAAGGATTTTTGCCTTCATTTATTTCCCAAAATAATACATATGCATAACCCCAGTACTTCCCATCCCTGCTTTGTATTAAAATTAGGTTATTAGTCCTTCATGCATGTGCAATTCTTCTTTTAAATTGGGTCAGTAGTCTCGAATTGGGTCAGTGATCCCATGGATGAAGTCAGGAAGGTCTTCATCAGGTCTCTATGACCCTCTGGCACGATCCAATGCCCCCTGCTTCATGATGGATTAACACAGAGTCCAGGTGCTGGGCATTGTTCTCCTGGTTTCAATATGTTCCTATAATGGTTCACTTGCTTCACTTCTTTCTATAAATGAGCTCATAATATAACAATTAGCTTTAGCTTAAACATCTAATAATCGTTAACCTATCATTGGTGTATCTAACTTCAATATGAATTGGTTCTAACCCTCAGCTAAAATCTTAAATTTTTAAAATCATGATTCATAAGAAACAAGTGGCACACAAGCCAACTCAGTATTTTTCTGTGGATACATACAAAATTACTCCATGGAAGAAGCCAAACTTTTTAATATTAAAAACAGCATGAATTTCTAGTATCAACATGAGTCTGCTTGTTTCTGCATGTTTCCCAATCTTAGTCAAGGGAAGAGTTATTTGATGACAGTATGTAAAAAGAAAATGCAGAAAGAAAAATAAAAAATAGAGGAAAGCAGATAATGTTATCAGGATGGCAAACAGAATCTGAAGGTCAGCTTGGTCAAGAAAAGCTGGGAGAAAAATTTGCTTCTGTCAAAGGAGGCTGTAAGAGCATGCAAGCAGCTGGGACAGGTGCCAGAGCAGTCAGTGTGAACTTTTGGATCAGCCCTCATAAACTAAGTATTCTACAGCCGCTCTGAGGTTTGATTTCACTTGGAGGAAAAAGTGACCCATTTGGTAAGTCTTTTGCTTATTATTCATGCTGCCTTGTTCTTAGTGCTTTGTCTCACAAACCAGAGGTGAGGAACTCTCTGGGTGGCAATGCCTGATGAAGCCTGGGCTCTTGTATTGCCCCTAATATAAAGAGAGAGTTTGGGTTTTGGAAACCTTGACATCTATTATTGTCACAAGACATGTGAGACAGGTCAGGTGGGGCAGTGACTGATCACAGCAGGAGCTCCATAGCATTAGTCTTCTGGACACAGAAATTATCTGTGCTCCTCCTCCCTGCTAATCTGTTTTCCCTGGTTTGCTAGTTAAGTGTGGCTATAATACATAGCAAAAAAAAAAACCAAAACAAAACAAAAAAAACAACCCAGAAACAAACTCATGCTATACAGTCCATTGTTAGGCTACTAAAAAAGTTCATTGTCATCCAATTCCTTCAGCTTTGGACCACTAGTAGACTGTGGAGCATGGGTCCTATATCTTATTTTCAGTAGTTAAAATTGCATCAGCAAACTGCTGAGTCTTATCTGTTACCAAAATTAGCACCTGAGGATAGCAGGAGATGGTCTCTGAAAGCAGAGAGAGGATAAGGATAAGCTTTGTCCTCAGAATATTACTGAAGGCTTTGTGCAGTTTGGCTGAAACAGCTTAAGAAGCAGCTGGCATTAGAGTTTCCCTTGTAGCCAGATGGAATGGGATAGGTGGGAGCTTTAGAGTCTGATGCTTCCCATCTCATCCATGTGAAAGCATATGCAGGACAGTTCTTAGATGCTGTGTGGCTGGCAGCACACAACTGTGAACACTAACTATTCCTCCTCAGTTCAACCACCTCCATGTATCCTCTAGATACATCTCTTTTAATCTCATTTTCTTGTCTGAAGTCTCAAAGGTGACTTAAGTCTGTGAGGATATGCTAGGGTAGTGGGGCAGAGCTCGCTCCTCTCTTGTGCTGCTAGTTTATTCCTTTCCTGTGCACCATGCTCAGGATGAGCACAGTTGTTTATCAACAATGAAGCTTCAAAGATGTAATACCCAAAAGCTGTGCCTTGCTTAGCTTGATGTGCAGTGTGTGTAGCACCATCCCCTTACCCAGCTGGAGGACCAGAAAAGTACAGAGAACCTTAGTGACAGCTCAAACTGTCACAAAAAAAACTGAGACAAATACTTCAGCTGTCCAGTGTCCATTCCTCATCATATGCTTCAGGATTGAACCGTCTTATTAAATCTAAAATAAGTTTCCACGGCTTTATAACTCTTATTACATTTTTGTCACCTCTGGAAACTGCTTGGATTATAATTTGACCAGTTCATGCCCAGGTATTAAAGTCAAAAGCAGCTGTGTCTAATTAGTTGTGTCTAATCTTTGGTTCTTAGCCCACGTTATTAATGCCAACAATTCTTCTTCATCACAGTATAGATCTCATTCCTCAAGAAGTTTCCATACCTTTAGTACTGGGCGGTCAGGCATGGAAATAAAGTTTCCCATATCTTCAGTGGGGTTTTTCTTCTATTTTCAGCTTCTCTGGTTTCTTCTTTCACACAGCCCTTCAGCTGGTGACTCTCACAGCCTTTGCTGCAGCTGTGATTCTTGCAGATTTTGCTGCAAATTTGGGCTCTCCCCACCTCTTTCTTTCCAGCTTTTCACTGTGAGGGCAGGCTTTGCAGGCTATGCCCTGTGTCTTTCTCCACTCTACCTACAGGCAAACCTTGGACTGTTTGTCCTCACACTGGGGGCACCACATGACATGTGAGGCCATGCGCCTGAGATGGAACACACAACAGACCTCTAGTGTACATCAGCCAAACAGCCTGTTTTATTGTTTGCAGCTTACTTTTATAGGCAATTCAAAGCTCCCAGCTCTAAACAGTCATTGGTCTAATCTCCACACCCTCTGAACCAGTCAAATGCTTGTATTTTTAGGAGAGTTATTATTGGTTGAAACCTCTGTCAGTCAATCTACAGGCTGGTTTATGAAACTGAGTGGGTTTTTTATTTATAACTGGATTAACGTTCAGTACAAGTCAGCTTGTACTGCAACATCAAAGCTCACACATTTTCTCACAAAGCAATAAATAACCAAAGCAAATGTCTCTGGATCCTGTGGAGGGTGACAGTGCTATGCCAATGTCTATGAAGACATGGGCTGTGGGCTGCTAAAGCAGCATTTTGAGTAGTGGGATGTTTCTCTTGGCATTGCAAATGCTCAGTCACCCTGCAAGTGACTGTAGGATTTCCTGTAGGATTAGTAGGCCTTGAAAGTTTTGCTTAGGATTAGTGAGCTTCTATCTGCATAGGACATCTCTGGA